ACATTCCATTCATCTTTGAGTTGCCCACGGAACTTAGTAGTTGAATAAATATTTGTACTCAATAAGTATTTGTTGAATGAATGAATAAATGGGAGAAAAATGACCCAGGGTAGGGCTCAGAGGGAAGCTTGGGGCGTGTCTGAGAGAAATAGCAGGGAACAGAGAAGAGTCTAAAGAAGAATCAGGGATCACAAAAAAAAGGGAAAAGAACCTACATGTTCAGAAATATTTATAGCAGATCTTTTTGTGGTAGCAAAGTATTGGAAATTGAGGAGATGCCCATTAACTGGGGAATGGCTGAACAAGCTGTGGTATATGAATGTAATGGAATACTGTTGTGCAATAAGAAATGATGAACAAGCAGATTTCAGGAAAACATGGAAAGAGTTGTGCAAACTGATGTAAAGTGAAATGAGCAAAACCAGAAAAACATTGTACACATTATCAGCAACCTTGTGTGATGATCAACTATGAATGACTCAGTTCTTCTCAGCAATACAGTGCTCTAAGACAAGTACAAAGGACTCACGAAGGAAAATGCTATTCACATTGAGACAAAGAACTGATGGATTTTGAATACAGATCAAAGCATACTTTTTTCACTTACTTTATTCTTTTTCATGGATTTTTTTAATCTGTTTCTTCTTTCACAACTGTGACTAATATGGAAATATGTTTTACATGTTAGCACATGCATAATCTATACCAAATTGTCTACCATTTTAGGAAAAGGGGAGGGGAGGGAAGGTGGGAGGAAATTTTGGAACTCAAAATCTTGTAAAAATGAATGCTAAAAATTGTCTTGCATGTAATTGTGGAAAAATAAAACACTATTTAAAAAAAAACAAAAAAAAGAAGAAGAATCAGGGAACTTGCTGCTCAATTTTGCTTGAGATTGCTTGGGATAGCTCTGGCTGAGCTCTAGATCAAAAGTTACCTACCCACTGAACCTGTAGGTGATCAAGAAGAGATCTTCAAATCCATATTGACACCAAGTGTAGTCATTTTGATTTGCATTTAGTTTCCACAAAGTATAGTGTGTGATTTAGTCTATAGCCAGGGTTTCTAGCAAAGTCTGGGGCATTTTGCATGAGACTCTTCTAATTGGTAGAGAAAATGATGACATTGAAGGTTAAAGTGGATGAGGAGAGGACTTTGTGAGAGTTTTGAAGAGAAAGGATATTTGTTTGTTCCTTCCTTCCGAAAGGTTCTACATAATTCCAGACCTTCTCTGGGTCCAACTTCTGACACTTGGGGAAAGAAGTACTTTGGAAGGCATAAACATGTAGGGTAAGCTGGCTTCTCACCACACCCCTACTTTCTGACTTAGTTCCCTAGAGACTTTGGGGAATTTTTCCTTGGGTGATAAAGGGTCCTCTTTCTCTAGGTTTAATTTGAGATATTTCACTCCCAGAAGGAATGAATTCACTCTGTGTGTTTTCTGGTGTATTCGAATCTGTATGACTTCTATATTTTCTGTTTGGTATTTGTCTGGATAAATGGATTTGCTTGCTGTCCACTATTTGTGATGGTCTTTGGTATAACAAGCTTTTTGTGGGAATGTTCCAAAGTTGAGGGTTTAAGCTAAGAGCTCTGTTACCCTCCTCCCTGTAAAGGACAGTGACTAAGGAAGTGATTAACTTTTTGTTTTGAGCAAATTGTGTCACTGGACCAGGAATATTTGGGGGTGAGGAGGGTGGGAGTGGGAGTAGATATATTTGTAGTCTAGTACCCTTCTCAGAACGGGCAGCTAGGTGGCACAGTGGATAGTGCCTG